CCCACCACCTTCACTACTCCACCCACCACCTTCACTACTCCACCCACCACCTTCACTACTCCACCCACCACCTTCACTACTCCACCCACCACCTTCACTACTCCACCCACCACCTTCACTACTCCACCCACCACCTTCACTACTCCACCCACCACCTTCACTACTCCACCCACCACCTTCACTACTCCACCCACCACCTTCACTACTCCACCCACCACCTTCACTACTCCACCCACCACCTTCACTACTCCACCCACCACCTTCACTACTCCACCCACCACCTTCACTACTCCACCCACCACCTTCACTACTCCACCCACCACCTTCACTACTCCACCCACCACCTTCACTACTCCACCCACCACCTTCACTACCTACCACCGTCAGTGCTCCACCCACCACCGTCAATACTCCACCCACCACCGTCAATACTCCACGTACCTTAATTAATGTTTCTGGAAAAAGTCTGAGTGTTAAAATGGAGGTCACCTCTTCCCCAGATTTATACGAGAACCAAACATGGAATGAGGTGCCTCACTACAATCTGGGATTAGTGTGGGAGTATTATCCTTCCAGTTATTTCTTGGAAGAGCATGTGGGATGGGACAAAGTGCCTGACATTCCTCTGGGTACAGAGTTGGGTTTGACTTCAGATACGCCGCCAATTAGTGGCAGTGTATCTGAAGCTCGCTTGTAACTTGGATTTTGCCTTGCATCTCAAAGCAAAAAATCGACCAAGCAACAACTCATAACTTGAAAAACTCGTAATTTGGGGCACTCATAAGTCAAGGTACCAATGTAAGTGTTTTCAAGAGGAATCGGATTTCTGCCAAGTGCCAGATCAGTCAGGCTGTGATGGATATGTGGCTGGCTCCTGGTCAAGCTGCGAGGTATATCACAGGAAACCAATCAGCTCCAGTGCTGTTTAAATCCTTCAGTCTGTTCCAGAGATGGTGGTAGTGTCTGGTAAAATATCTTACACATTTGACTTGAATTGATAGCCCAGTTTCATTAGCATTTTTCTGGGTACAGTATTTTTTAAATTATCATTACACAATACACAGATAACCCACAGAGAGAGAGAGAAGCTTATGACGACATTTCGGTCTGACTTAGACCATTTATGAATCACACTTACCTATGAAGGTGAGGGAGACATTTGTTTTATTGTAGTAGTATCTGTCTTCTTAGCAAAAATTATGGTTTTTACTTTTGACTATTCTCAAGTGCTGTAATTTAAAAATGTTTAAAATAACAAAGTTTTAGAAATACAGTGGAACCTCGCTTTTCGGCCGTAATCCATTCCAGAAGGTCGGCTTAAATTTGACATGTTGTGTATCTTTATATGTGTATGCTTCTAAACTGTTGTATTCTGAGCACCTCTGCAAAAACAGTGATAATGTGCGAGTGTGGTGAAAGTGTTGAATGATGATGAAAGTATTTTCTTTTTGGGGATTTTCTTTCTTTTTTGGGTCACCCTGCCTCGGTGGGAGACGGCAGACTTGTTGAAAAAAAAATAAGAAAATTAACCAGTTATTTTTTAAAGTGGTTATTTTTTTAATTTCACTTACAAAAATGAAATCCCTAGACAATTGGTCTACCAAGTTTGGAGGATGAGCAGGAGCATTGTCCATTACCAGGAGGAACTTGAGTGGCAATTTATTTTCCAGGAGGTACTTTTTCACTCTCAGGCCAAACACTTCATGGACCCAGTCAATGAAAAGTTGCCTCGTGACCCATGCCTTATGATTAGCTTTCCACATCACACAATTTACTCTTGATGACACTGTTTTTCTTGAACACACTGGGGTTGTCAGTGATACACGAGTAAAGGCTTCACTTTGAAATCCACACAAGCGTTAGTACAGAACAAGAGAGTTAGCCTGTCTTTCATAGGCTTGTGTCCTGGCAGTGCTTTTCCTCCTCTGTGATGTAGGTCCTCTTTGGCATTTTCTTCCAAAAGAGGCCTGTTTCATCACAGTTGAACACTTGTTGGGGTTGGAATTCTTCAGCCTCTACGTACCCCTTTACCCTTTCAGGGTTGAGAGGCCCTCTCCTAAACTTGTTCTCAGGGTCGAAAATTTTTTGGAAAAAAAAAATTTCTTATGAAATGTTAGAGAATCTTTTCCCGATCATAATGACACCAAAAGTATGAAATTTGATGGAAAACTTACAGAATTATGCTCTCGCGAAGCTAGCGGTCTCAACGATGTTTACGCATCGGCAATTTCGCCCACTTTGAGCTCTATTTTCAGCTAATTCCCGTGTACTAGTCGACAAAATTCATATTTATTTCGCTAGAACTCCATTTTTTCTATCGAATGAGTACAAGAAACAACCCATTTACCAATTTCAACTATCCAATAAAGTGGTTTGAAATTGGCAATTTTGCCAATTTCACACAAATTTCAGAAGTTGCCAATTTCCAAATAAGGTCCAGAATAAACAAGACAGACATTCCTGGCACTAAAATAACAAGTTGTCTGTTCGTTAGTCACGTCCCCACGCCCCTCTATTTCTTTTGCTTTTCACTTTGAATTTTTATTCTCACAAAAAATAGAAGATTTACTGTTATGCAGACTACTGCGTTAGTGTAGAAATGGTATAAATAATATCAGTGCACTTGTGAAAGAATATTAGACTCGCCAATGCACGTGTATTGAATGCTTGGCATGATTTGTTTACTTTTGAACTTTGGTAAAAATCGAATATTTCCGCTACTTTGAGCTCAATTTCAAGGTACTTTTCTTTGTGATACCAATCAAAATCATCTCAGTTTCTGTAATATGTCTTCCATTCTATAAAATGAGACCAGGAAAACTAGAATACAACCATAAATACCATACGAAAATACAGTGCAAATTCGCTGTTTTAATCCAAAAAGTCAGTGTTTTTTTTTTTTTTTTTTTTCTCATTACGCACTGTGTGCTGCAGGATTTTTTTTTTATACTGCGCACACTGACCACATAGACCCATTCTTTCATATGTAGGCCTACCAGCTTTCTCTCGCTAGATTTGAAGGCTCTAGAATTTAGGCGCTCTAGTACATCAATAACCCTGGTGCGTAAGCCGTACTAGTACGTCGAAAACCCTGAAAGGGTTAAATTACTGCACAAATTTTTCAGCCACATGTTTGTTTGAACTTGTAGCCTCACCATGCCTTACAACACCGTGTATGCCACTACGCTTCTTAACCCTTTGACTGTTTTCGACGTATAAATACGTCTTACGAGCCAATGTTTCTGACGTATATATACTCAATAATTCTAGCGGCTTCAAATCAAGTGGGAGAAAGCTGGTAGGCCCACATGTGAGAGAATGGGTCTGTGTGGTCAGTGTGCACCACATAAAAAAAATCCTGCAGCACACATTGCGTAATGAGAAAAGAAAAACTGATCGTTTTTTTGGAATAAAACGCCGACTTTGAGGTGTATTTTCGTATAGTATTTATCGTTGTATTCGCGTTTTCATGGTCTTAGGTGATAAAATGGAAAACATATTACAGAAATAGAGATGATTTTCATTACTTTTACGATGAAAACGACCTTGAAACTGAGCTCAAAGTAGCGGAAATGTTCGATTTTTACCAATGTTGAAGAGTAAATAAATCACACCACACGTCCAATACACGTCAACTGGGGAGTCTAATATTCTTTCACTAGTGCACTGATATTATTTATACCATTTTTACAATAATGCAGTCGTGTGCATAACAGTAAATTTTGTAGTTTTTTGTATGAATAAAAAATCAAAATAGAAAGCAATAATAATATAAGAGGGGCCTAGAGATGTGACTAATGAACAGAGCATATGTTATTTTAGTGCCACGAATGTCTACCTTGTTTATTCTGGACCCTATTTTGAAATTGGCATCTTTTTTATTCTGCGTGAAATTGGCCAAATTGCCAATTTCTGACCACCATATTGGGTAGTCCAAATTAGTAAATGGGAGGTTTCTTGTACTCAGCTGATAGATAAAATGGAGTTCTAAAGAAATAGCTATGAGTTTGGTCAACTGGAACAATGGAATTGGCTGAAAATAGGGCTCAAAGTCGGCGAAATCGCCGATACGCATATGTCACCGAGACCGCTAACTTCGTGGGAGCATAATTCCATGAGTTTTCGACCAAATTTCGAACTTTTGGTGTCATTACCATCGGGAAAAGATTCTCTATCATTTCATAAGAAAAAATAATTTTTTTTTCAAAAATTGAGCGACATAGAATGACAGTTTCAGAGAGGGGCCTGAAACAGTCAAAGGGTTAAATCTTTCAAACCAGCCTTTGCTGGCTTTAAATTCACTAACATCATCACTAATACCAGGCATTTTCTTTACGAGATCTGCGTGCAACTGCCTTGCCTTTTCACAAATGATTGTCTCTGAAACACTATCTCCTGCTAACTGTTTTTCCCTGATCCACAACAGCAGCAATGTCTTCGCATCTTCATTTGTTTGTAAACTCTTTCGTTAACTTGTTTACCCCTTTCGCCACATCAGCTTCCTTGATTTGTTCTTTGCCAGGATAGAAGTGATTGTTGATTTGTTTTTGCCGTGCATCTTGGCAAGTTCCAGTACCCGCACACCACTCATATTTTTCTATTACTTCCTTTTTAAATTCCATCATGTTTCTCACTTTCTTTACCAAAAGAACTTTATTAGGAACTTTCTTGGGGCCCATGGTGACTTATTTCACGGTTGCAC